GTTCACAACAAAACATTCGGATATCCAATCCACACGAAAACGATACTCACTATAATTATTTTATTCATTTTTTATATTTATTTTTTATGATATGATACGTTACGTTATGTTTATTTTTAATGACTAGCTTGCGAGGCGCGCCGGTTTGTACTGGTAGAACAAGTTAAAATGTAACTTTTACATATAAAGCAGTTCAGATTGCCCAACGAGGCATAATGGCGGTGGCGTTACGGCACGGGGGATTGGGTAACGAACCTTTTTTTGCGCGTAGGGTGTAATGCAGTCGTATTGAATTAAGAATTTTATTAATATTTATTAAACACCTTATTCTTAATTAAATAAAATATACTTTTTATTTAATTAAGTAAAATATACTTTTATTTAATTAAGAATAAGGTGTTTAATGCTGTGCTCCTTTAGTCATACATATTATCACTTACATTATTACGTTATTGCATGAGGTGAATTTATTTCCGTGTCTTTTTTGTCATAAAATGGCCAACAACAGACGGACTGCCTGATGGTAAGCAAGCGACCCGCAGCACCAGAGGAATGATTAGTGCGAAACTAGTGTTGGTGAAATAATATTCCAAAAATCGAACCATTAATCAGTAACAGAACCTCTGAGTAGGTCAAAGCAGGAAAAAGAACGCAGTGATTTTTAATCTTGAGTCGGACATGTTTTTCTTCCTAATAATTTGTACTGACACTCACTCTCGGGCCACCTGGGGTGGGAGATTACGTCGGACGGTTTTCCAACCATAATAAAAGCGTGTCTTCAATACAAACGAACAAAATATGACATCTTTTGTACTATTAGATGGTATTAAAATTATATAGCTATTTATATAATTATATAATATATATATACCTATATAAGTATGTAGTATCTATTTATTTATATTAGTGTTTCTATATTTATATAAACATAATTTGTATGTATTATTAGTTTATGTAAGATTATATTGTTATTGAATTTGTTTAAATTTATACATTATTATATTGAGTCTTTGTTTTAGTCTTTAAAAATTTTGCTGCTTGCGCTCACCGTTTTTACTCATCTCTGCATCACCCAAAGGTCAGACTGGTAGATAATGCCTACGGCATTAAGTCCGCCTATGTACAGAAATTTGTGTGCATAAAGCTTAATAAATAAATAAATAAATAAATAAATAAATAAATAAATAAATAAATAAATAAATAAATAAATAAATAAATAAATAAATAAATAAATAAATAAATAAATAAATAAATAAATAAATAAATAAATAAATAAATAAATAAATAAATAAATAAATAAATAAATAAATAAATAAATAAATAAATAAATAAATAAATAAATAAATAAATAAATAAATAAATAAATAATTAAATAAATAAATAAATAAATAAATAAATAAATAAATAAATAAATAAATAAATAAATAAATAAATAAATAAATAATAGCTACCTATTTATAATATAAAGACTAACAATAGATTAGTAAGCTATTAACTAACTACTCAAAGTCACTTAATGGTTAATTAACCGACTCAGTAATTTTAAGAAATAGTTTTAGTGGGATTTGTGAGAATCACGCGGAGGTCATACTACGGTGGGCCTAGCACCGCTGTGTCCTCAGGGAAGCGATCGGCGGTGGCGACCTCTCGCGCCCGGCCTTAGTCGAGACCATGGTGTTGAGCGAGAACTTTTTTTAATAATTAATAAGTCTTAACAAAAGTTTACAATATTAATATACAATATATAGACTGGGAAGCCATCTCCTCTTTCTGCCATTCGACCACCACAGACGGGGCCCTAAAGGGCTGATGTTCAGCCGGGGTTGCGGGGTAAGCGCAATGAGGTACCGCGACCTCGGCACAGAGCAGGAGAAGGAACAGGGGGGTTTTTAGTCAGTAAGAGTCTGACACTCCCTCCTGCCCGGCCCTGGGCGGGAGAAGTCATTTGATGATTTTCCCCTCACAAAAAAAATCTCCTCTTTCTGCAAAAGTCACGCTCGCAACAAAGGGTGGGGAAATGCGGGGAAACTATCCTCCTCACGGGGCAGCCGCCGCAGTAGCAGATACTCCTGGCATCGAGGACCGCATGACGACCTCTTGCCGCCGTGAGGACCGACTGGGGTTGCAGGTCAATTGAAATAATGTACCATCACCTCGGCCTAGAGCAGGAAAAGGAACGGGATAGATTTTGCCACTAAAAATAATAGAAAAAATAATTAAAATATCCATGTATGTTTTGTTTGATTTTAAGATTTTTTTTTCAATGTAATTATTTACTTCAAGGTACGACTTGTGAGTTCTACGATCAGTCGTCGAGATCCCTTCTAGAGACGAATAAAGGACTGTTTTGGATAAAAAAGCGACATGCCCCAAAATGAATCAACTGGTTTGAAACTACCCTATTATACACTACTTGGTTCATACCGTCGTTTATCCATTAAAACGTCCTCAAAGTTTGATCTTTGACTGCTAAGCAATTTGAATGCAATAGGTTAGAACCTCAATACATAACATTTCTATAGAATAAAGCATTCTATGGATCTCCTTAACCTCATAGGGTCAAATATCATTGCGTGACATGTTAATGAATTAAAAAAAAAACAGAGAGTACATTCATTAAATTGTGCATAAACTTTTATTAGGTATTTTTTTTTATTATGCCTAACTATCGGTAAGGTATACAAAATTAATTGAAAGTTAATAAAATTATTTTTAATAATTATAATTATTTACAAGCTTTTATTAAAAATGCAATAAAAAAGTTTCTATGTTTGTGAAGAGGAAGCTACTAAAATTTGAAGCATCTGCTTCAAATAATAATTTTAGATAATAATTATCTAAGCTAAGCTAGCTATATAATTCTATATTTTTTTTTTCCTAAATTCATTATAACGTATGCAACTTGTCTTAGGGACTGCTGTTAAAAGGGCGTTTTCCAAAAAAGTTTTAATACTTTTTTATGGAAAAAAACTATGTAAATAAGTACCCACCTACCTATTGATGTAGTCATTGTTAAATGCGAAAGTGTGTTTAGGGCCATCTGATGGGAAGCAAGCCTTTCTGGAGTTGTTATATGATGGAGATGACAATAAATGTAAATTACATTATTTTATTTAATATAAAAAATAAAAAAGTTACCCCTCACTTGGTTTTTTTCCAATGTCATGGGTTCATTTACAAACATACATTTCAAAAACAGAACAACTATTTATGGATGTCACAAAGAGTTTCCGTGCGATTCGATACGACGACAGTCGGTACACAGTATATTTGTTACCATGTTTTTTTCTTTCACAAATAATTTTGCCACTCAAGCGCGATACGTTTTATGTGTGGGAAAGCCACGCTACGGCACGAATGGGTCGCTCGGAGTGTGGCAAAAAACCACAGTGTTGTTTTTCGCCGTGTGAGTGAGGTTACTGGAGGCGCAATCCTTCGAGCTCCGTATGGTATTCCGAAATACCTCTCACCGAAAGAACGGTTTTCCGATAACACTCTACTCCGACGGTTAGTTGAACGAAAAAATAATTGGCCGATGAAACGTTTCGCCGATAATATTATTCATCTACGGTTGGTAGTCCGAATGAATCCTTCGCCGCTGTAACGTTTCATCGAAAACACTCTTCAACGACGATTGGTTAAATGAACGAATCTTTCGCCGATAGCACTCGTTGTAGGGGAATTCTTTTGCCAAATGGATAGTTTTTCTTTCAGCTTGACAACACCCTTAGGTCTTGTAGACGTCTTGTTAATGCCACGATTCTAATCTTTCTAATGCATTTTGTGTCCTTGAAACAGAAAGTGTGTTTTTTTTTTTTCTCCTTAATGGCAACTGAGAGAAAGTGTGTTATTGCCTTTATTTTTAACAAGATGTCTACAAGACCTAAGGGTGTTGCCAAGCTGAAATCCGTCATCCTGTTTAAGCAAAATGCTAAGTACCTACTTATTTTCTTTCTCAACGCAGGCGCTAGTAATATCTAGGTCAAACAAAAAGTACCTACACTGTACCTCCTCCGCGAATCTTAAAAAATTACTGTATGACCTATATTGTGTACCAAAGAGTTCAATATAAAAAAAAACATAAAACCTCCATTCCAATTTTTCCCTCCAACCCTGCTTTACCGACGCATCTGACGTTTGTCTGACGTTCATCGGGGTGCCGGGAAAAATCAATAATTTCAACAACACACTGTGACATTTTCATTTCGTATTGAACAAAGTGAAATTATTATTTATTTAACGGCAAAATGATGCAAGAATACGATGACGACTTTTTCTTTGAAGAGGATAAAATGTACGTATTTATTAATTTGTTATAGTTTTCTTTATATTAATACTTATGTATTTTCTGTATCGGAGTTTTTTTCTTGAAGTATGAGACAATTGTGTATGTGTGTGGTTCGCGTATTATATAAATTAAATTATGTCTTTCTAAATTACCAAGGCTTATTATTCTTATTCAATGGTATTTTCTATAATTTTGGTTAGCAATATTTTATCGTTTGATTCATACAAATAATGAAAAGAGTTTTCCTATACTTCTACGGTAAAATATTTCATAAAATTGGGCTTTGTTTGTGTATTATATTCTCTATTCTCACGTACTTTACAACCTAATTGATCGTCATCAAGTCATTATTTGATTAAAATAGAAGAAGATAGTTTACAGATAGGTATTTGTGAATTAAAGCTACAGGTGGGGAAATATGGGTCATATTTTGAATTCTTATTGCGTTATGTATGTACCTCGATAAATGTAATTTATTGTTATTATTTATAAATTAATTTCTTATGTTTTTGTAATAACTATTGTTCATTCTTGTTTATTTATGTTGCATTGACGTATTTTAAACTAATATTCATTATCGTATTATGTATTATACCCTCTGCCCTCCCATTTGACAGCTAACCACAGATAACAAAAACAACTTTAATAGTCTATGGTCATGACTATTGCAATATATCCTCCTTATCTACCCAACTTCCTTTGTTTGCAGAATATTATCACTTGTTTAACTGACTACAACGTTTATGTGTTTTTATTGATTTTTTGGTGACAATGTGGCAACAGAATAGTCAATTTTATATCTTTAATGATACAAGGATCTGTCCCCAGCTTCAAGCAACTTTACACAGCATGTTTGAAGATAAAATGTTTGTATTACTTTTTTTGTTTCTTTTTTTTAGTTATAGGTACTACTTACAGTAACTGTAAGTGGAACTATTTGCGTAACTATGTAATAGAAACTTTAGAGATACTTGTTTTAGATATAAAATATATTAAATAGATGTGGAACCATAGTTGTATATGGATTAGAGAGACATGGAAAATTTTAACACCATATGGATTGTTATTTAGATTTTTCATGTAGTTACGAAAACAGTAATTAAATAGTAGGTTTTTTTCTTACACTACTAGAAAGTATGTAGTTACAATGTTTTAAAAGTAGAATTACTTAACTAAAAAATATATATTTCGTCTGTGTTTTTTTTAATCGTAATAATTATTCCGATAAAAAAAATCGTGTAAGCGTTCTGGCTCGAGAGCTTTTATGAATTTCCCGGTGAATCAATGTCTGTTTTTTTTTCTGTTATACAAACTTCTTGCTTGTTCCTCCAATAATGAATTCGAAAAAAAAGGATCCATCTAATTTCTTGTAGTCGTTTAAGGCTAATAATCGTACAAGTTTTATGTGTGGCAGAGCCAACTTTGGCACGTATGGGACGGCTCGATCGAAGTGATACCACGGCCTTACAGGAAACCGGCGTGAAACAACGACAACGACATGAGGAGTACGCGGATAATCGGAAGCTCAATCCTTCCCCCTACCACTCCCAATCCTCAAATTCCTTACAACCCTCAAAAGGTCGACAACGTATTGTTACTTCTATGACCATCAGACGATCCTAAAACAAAAGAAAAACCACAATTTTCAATATTTTTTATTGTTTTTATTTTTGTTTAGCAAACCTAACGAGAAAGTTTCTAATTTATTACTGCCGATCGAAGAAAAGTGAGTTTTAAAATTGATTTTTTGCTAAAATTTATTGTTTTTTTTTAAATTGACGTTTATTTAATATTTTTTTGTTTTCTTTATTTTGTGTTTATTATAGTCCGACTCCTTCGATTCAAGATGTTACAAATGATGTTACGGAAATCAAAATTTTCGAAGAGTAAGTCTGATTAAAATTAAATCCAATTTCTACTCACTTAAGGTATAATTTTATTTTAAAGCTATCGTTATATCTTCCCAGTCCCAGTTCAGAAATCAAACACCTGACATCATCAGCCTATAAGTGCCCACTACTGAGCAAAGGCCTCTTCTCACACGGAGAAGGTTTTAGCATTAACTACAACGATTGCCAATATGAATTGGCGATTACAAACTTACAATTAGAATTTATAAGTTCAAGTTTCTTCACGATGTTTTCCTTCACCGTGTGTCAGTGTTGTCTAAATAATCATAGAAAGTACATATAACTAGGAAAAAGTTTCATTGGTATTTCCAATCGGACACCTTTTTATATAACTTAGAACTGGCAGGAAAATAATCCCAAGATCAAATCATTTTTAGAAATAACAAATATATTTATATTTTTTTTTTTTTTTTGTTTTTAATACAGACAGCCAAAAGAAAACTCTGTTGAAGCGGACACAGAGTGCATTTTCAACGATTTACGATTCGAAAGATATTCTATACAGCATCAAGATCTCTTGTGAGTTCATAGCGTTAACAAAAAGCACTTTTCAGTAGGCTCAGTAGAATTGTTTGATGTACAGCCAGAAAATAAAATAAAAAGTTTGGTTTTTTTTTCATTGTTTTAAAACATTATGTTATCCTCCCATGTCGTGTGTGTTTATAAACATACATACAATTGTATATACACATCAGACCTAGACCCGGAACAATTTGTGGTTCGCACAAAGAGTTGTTCCGTGCGATAATCGAATCCGCGACACGTTACACAGCATCCAGTTTCCCAGCCACCGCACCAACCGTACAGTCAATTTCGGACGATACAATTTCACACACACATCATACCACCCAGAAAAATTGTAGCCCAATTTGTGGATCACACCAAGAGTTGTTCCGTGGGGGAATTGAACCCTGACACACACAAACAACTGAGCAGTCAAAGATTCACTAAACCATTTTCTTCTATAAATCACCAAATCTCCAATTTCCAGTAAGTTACTACAACGCTCGTGTAACTTCTAAAAAAGTTAATCATCCTTGGTTCCCCTACTGAAACAGAAGTCTGTACAAAGTGGAATTTGTCATTGATTTATAATGATGACTAATACTTTCCTTAGTTTTGCTGATTAAGGTAGATGTTTCAAGGCAGCCAGCTTTTTTTTAGCACGTAATTTACATTTCGCGTCGGTATAGGTGTCCGATGTATATTTTATTATAATATACGTACACTGATGTTTTACGCCCTCTCCAACTTTATGTTGATTGTTTTTTTGGATAGTAACTATCGTGAGTCATACAAAATTCATTGAAAATAAAGACTTACTCACATAAATCAACTAAGACCAGTTTATAGAATCATGAAATGTTAAATGTTAGCAACTAAGACCTGTTTGCTGCGTAACGCAGCCGCGACGCGCACGCTGCTCATGAATACGATTCCCGTTGTGACTCGTAGCGTGCTACGATTAAATGGAGCTAGCAGCGGGTGTGGTTTATATCCTATAGCATTCAGGAACATTGTAGCTATGTATCAATGAAAGAATTTTGGAAACCCGACTAGCGGTTCCTAAGATTACCCCCTACATACAAACTTACAAACATACAAACTTAAAAATTTTACCTCTTTATAATATTAGTATAGATACGACTTACTCATGTGAATTAAATGAGAAAAGCTCTACTAGTTTCAAGTTACAGCGGGACTCTTATTTACGAGCAGCGTGCGCGTCGCGGCGAAGCAACCCACTGAGTCATTATTTTCAATAAATTAAGTTCGATTTTTTATGATTGTGAGTAAATTTAAGAGAGGAATGTAGGCTATCTGACTATGATAAATGTACGAAGCTAGTCATAATTTTTGAAGGCTATTTAGTAATTTAATATAAGCTAGATCTAAGCTAAAATTCAAATAAATACGTTTACAATATAAACTACCGTCTTTTATTTTAGAATTAGTAATAAAATTTAAAAATAGAACTAAGCTATGTTAAAGAAAAATTGTAGTTGTGCTAGCAGTTTTAAAATTGTTTTTTTTATAATTTATTTTCAGCTAGCTACCCCTTGGATTAAAACGGCTAAGATTTAATATCAATCTTCAATATTTTCAGGGGTATGACTGTTACTTCGGGCAGTGTGGTGTTAAGCAAAGATGAGAAAAACTTGATAGGTATCAGTATAGGTGGAGGAGCGCCCCTCTGTCCCTGTTTATACATCGTTCAGGTAAAAAAACACGCCAGCTTTTCTTAAAAATAAAAATAGAAATGGGAATATCTGCACAAAAACACAAGCAATTTAATTAGCGTTCTAAGCACTGTTTTGGTAAACGAGGGAGGTATCCAAATAGTCAAAACTTTAAAAAAGATTCCTAAACAATTCAAATCCATCTATTTTTTTATGTGATAGGACGGCAAATGAGCAGGCTTATTACCTGATGGTAAGCAAACGGCGCCGTCCATGGAGGTGCCCAGGCAACAACAAAGAAGTTTTGAGTAGGTACTTTGCCGACCTCTTAGAGATTAGGGTTTTGGAGATTTACGGGTTGGCAGAGTGGAAATTTTGGGCTTCCGAAATTGGATCTCTTCTATAGTTTCAAAGTAAGCGATATAAACTCAAGAATGTAACTTTTGCAATGATTTTGAAACAGTATTTATGAAGAATTCATCTAGCTCTTTTTTATTTATATAGTTCGCTCTACTAATATTGATGGATGGATGTTTCTTAGTCGTTCACCTAAAATCTACTAAACGAATCTTGGAGGTAGATTATAGTCTGGAATAACACATACGCTACTATAAAATTATATTCGTATTAATTAGGTATTCCATTAATATCTCGGTTCAATAATGATATTTAAGGGTTTTATAAGAAATATCTTTCCAGATCTTCGACAACACGCCAGCCTCAAAAGATGGTACATTACAAAGTGGAGATGAATTGGTTGGTGTTAACGGACAATCGGTTAAAGGCAAAACTAAGGTGGAAGTCGCTAAGATGATTCAGTCAGCTAAGGTAAGTGTGGGAGAGCCATGCTAAGTGTGGGAGAGCCATGTTTCGGCACGAATGGGTCGGCTCGACCGGAGTGATACCACGGCCTCACAGAAAACTGGCGTGAAACAACCACAGTGTTGTGTTTCGCCGTGTGAGTGAGGTAACCGGAGGCCCAATCCTTCCCCTTCCCAATCCCTCCCCAGTTCCTTAATCTCCAAATCCCTAATCCCTAAAAGGTCGGCAACGCACTCGTAACTCCTCCGTTACGGGTGTCCATGGGCGGCGCTGGTTGCTTATAATAGGTACTCATATTTATTGCTGTAGAATATAATTATTTAGCTTCCGTCCGTCCTTGATGCTGAGCTCGAGCAAAAAGCCGAGTTGTGAACCGAAATCCACCAAGTGACATTTGATCCAAACTAGTGATGGCCATGTGACAAGTGTCAACTTCCTAAACAATCGATACTCGATTAAAATAATACTATGGTTCTATAATATAATTTCAAAACCTAACAATTACGCCCTAGAGCTAGAGGGAGTTTCAGACTCTTACTGACTAAAAACCATCCTGTTTCTCTTGCTCCGGGTCGAGACCGCGGTAGATATTATTAAGGCGCTTGACCTGCAACCACGGCTTCGTTCAGATTTTGACAATAATTTTAAAGGACTCGTTCATGGAATAAATGATTTTGACTTTGACTTTTCTTCCGATGATTTTTTATGTGATAGGTCGACAAACGAGCAAACGGATTACCTGATGGTAAGCAATCAGCGTCGCCCATGTAAATTTGTTATTTTAACAAAAATGTAATAATGTATCCTACTTTTTAGTTTAATTCGTCAAAGTAAGCACTAGGTAAAAAAATATTACAATACAGAAGAAAGTTCAGTTCAAGAATAATCAGGAGTCTCTAACTTAACACAATGTTTATGTTCATATCAGTCTCATAATAAATTATGCCCCAATTCATGCCATATCTGTATGAAATAGCAGATAAGATTTGCGCATTGCGTCGCAATAAACTCCCTCTTGGGGCGGATTTAACCCAAAGTGGATAAAAAAAAACTTAACACAGTAAAGAAACAATATCTTCTTTCTACCTTCCCAACTTGGCATTTCAGGATGAAGTAACAATAAACTACAACAAACTACACGCGGATCCAAAGCAAGGGAAATCCTTAGACATTATAATGAAAAAGATGAAACATCGTTTAGTTGAGAATATGTCTTCTGGAGCTGCTGATGCCCTGGGACTCTCTAGAGCTATTCTCTGCAATGATACGCTTGTAGCCAAGCTTAATGAACTAAGGGAAACAGAGACGACTTATAAAAGGCTTGTGGAAAATGCTAAAAGGTATGTTTTTAATTTGACATCATCATCGTCAACCTATTTATATGTGTCAAATGCTTCATCTCACATGGAGATGTTTTGAGCATTAATCATAACGCTTTGCTTAAGGCGGATGGACGAGATCAAACTTATAATTTATTATAAGTCCAGTTTTCTTAACTCGCGAAAAAAAAAGATGAACGAAATTGTACTTTTTTTGGCATAAGTTCATCGAAATCTTGTGAAAAACTAAGTCATATGAGAGTTATGACATAGTTCAAGACAATTATCTTAACTTACCAAAAACTTAATCAAGCTCTCAAACATTCCAGAATGCTGAAAGCCTACTTTGATCTCCTACAAACGTACAAGTCAGTCGGGGATATCTTCGCCGCTATAGGAGTGAGGGAACCCCAAGCAAGAGCCTCGGAAGCCTTCACAAAGTTTGGACAATACCATCGGCTGTTGGAGAGAGACGGTATCAAGATGCTAAAGGCCTTAAAACCGGTGAGTTTTCAAGTTTTCTTGGTTTTTGTAAGTGTTGCAGTGTGATGCAGTTTTTTTACGTGATATATGTGAGCAGACGGATTACCTGATGGTGAGCAATCGTTCGCCGTCCATAGACACCCGGAACTTCAGAGGAGTTACGAGTGCGTTGAAGCATTTTGGGGATTAAGGTTTCTAAGATTTAGGGATTGGAGAAGGAGAAGGATTAGACCTCCAAGAAACTCATCATGCCAAGATTGTTTACACTAACGTAACTACCTACTTGAGTGCACCATAGTCCTTAACCTTAAAACACAAAACTGGTTTCCTGTAACTTTTAATTCCCAAGTTCAAAAAAGCTTTAAATATATACAAAGGGCTTGTCTATTATATTAAACATAGATTGAAACAAAAAGTCAAAAGTCCAAAGCAACATTTTATTAGCGGTACGATATTCTCATGCAAGCCTAGTAGAGCAATAGAGTGATACTAAGGCCTTAGAGGAAACTAGCGTGAAACAACGACAGTGTTGCTTCGATGCCATGATAATGAGGTTGCCGTAGGCCCAATCGTTCCCCTCCCACATTCCCTCCTCCTATACCTCTCTAAATACTCGAAACCGTTGTCCCCAAAAGGTCTGCAACCCTCTTGTAACTCCTCCATTGCTGCGAATGTCCAGGGTATGCTCCTACTCGTAAGTATCACATAATAAAAAGCCTGCCGTTTACTTACTACTTACCAATGAGATGCTTACAAAATTAATTTTCTCCAGATCCTATCAGACATGGGCACCTACCTCAATAAGGCTATACCAGACACAAAGCTCACGATCCGTAAGTATGCAGACACGAAATTCGAGTACCTCTCATACTGTCTGAAGGTAAAGGAAATGGATGATGAAGAATATGGGTACAATGCGCTGCAGGAACCGCTGTACAGAGTGGAGACTGGCAACTATGAGTACAGGTGAGGAAAGAGTATATTTGTAAAGGCATTCCATCATTATCATCAGCCTATAAGTGCCCACTGCTAAGCAAAGGCCTCTGCTCACACGGAAAAGGTTTTGAACATTATTCCACGTTTGTTCAATTCGGATTGACGATTTCAAACCTATAAATAAAAACTTATAGCGAATCCGGCGAACTCCTTTTTGCCACCAGATTTTCAAAAAGTTGGTTGTATGTGAAACAAAGATTTTCCGCTTTTCTGTTGAGTTTTTTCCTGAATTTTCCTTGCTATAAATATATAGCTAATTTGTAAGACTTTTTAGGTTATTGTGTGATTTGTTTAAGCTATTCCGCTTCTAGTCTCAAAGATTTGAATAATTAAAGAGAGGTTATGATTGCTAGTGTATTTCATTTTAAAAAAAACTTAATTTGATAAGACGTTTTTAAGGATTAATACGGTTTTTTTTTTAAACGTTTCCCCACATTAGGATTTTCTCCTGTCTTGGGTGCGTTTACAAACATATAATTTCACATGCACATGACACCCAGACCCGAAACAACAATTTGTGGATCACATAAAGAGTTGTTCCGTACGGGAATCGAACCCGCGACACGTTGCACACCAGCCAATTGCCCAGCCACCGCACCAACTGTGCAATGAAAGCTTAAAAGATTTTTTTTGTCCAGACTCATTCTTCGCTGTCGTCAAGATGCAAGGACGCGTTTCGCCCGTTTACGATCAGATGTCTTGGTGAAGTTGGAACTTTTGGAAAATAAGAAGACACAAGACGTTGCTTATCAGCTGCGACGGTTTATACAGGGGCTGGCTCTTTATCATAAGTAAGGATTGTTTTTAAAAACTTTTTTTATGCGAAAGGGTCGGCGAATCAGCAGACGGATAACCTGATGGTGAGTAATAGACTGGCAGGACTTAAGGATAGGGGATTTAATGATTCAGGTTAAGGGGGGAAGGATTGGGCCTCCGATAACTTCACTTCACCCGGCGAAACAATGTAAGTGTAGCGTCAGGCGTCACGCTGGTGAGTTGTATCGATCTGGTCGAGCCGGTCCATTCATGCTAAAGTATGGGTCTTCCACACTTTAGACGAACGAATTTTTATGTCTAGGCTGTAAAAGATAAAACTTTGAGCTTGATCCCTGAGCAAAGAAATTATTCGTGTGCATTTGTGTGTGTGGAGTGAATATTTTGTGTTAACAATATTGTTTGTGTTCACAGCGAATCCGTGGAGCATTTGAAAGACAATGCGACCTTGTTCCCGGTCGAAGTCGATCTTTCACAAAACGCTTTCCAATACAAGTCTACGGCGCAGATTATTCAGGTAACTCATTAAATATTATTTATTTATTTAACCTTTACACACGCTACATTCGCACATCATCATCATCAGCCTGATTTCGTCCACTGCTCGACATAGGCCTCCCCAATTGCACGACACTAAGCTCAATGTTCAGCTCTTCTCATTCATCCACTACCAGCTACCTTAAAGATATCGTCAGTCCACCTAGCTGGAGGGCGCCCTACACTACGTTTGCCTAGACGTGGTCTCCACTCTAGAACACGTCTACTCCAACGGTTATCGGTTCTTCGACAAATTAATGTGACCTGCCCACTGACACTTCAGTTTGCTAATCCTTTGGGATATGTCGAAGTGGACTCAATGTCTTTGGCATTATCTTTTGGGCTTTTGGGTGATGCAGAGTCTTATGTCCGGTTTCCGAAAACCCGATCAATGTTAAAATCAACTAACTAGGTGTCAAATCTCTTGTCAAGTCATCTGATTGGTTGTAGATAATTCAGTGAACCGATCAGATGATTTGACAAGAGATTAAATTGATTTTAACATTGATCGGCCTTTCAGAAACCGGGTGTTACTTATTCATTTATGTTTAATATTAGATCAAGATCAGTGGACAAAAAACATAAGAATATAAAATCTGAATACAAATCTTAAAACAAAAAATATCTTCCACAGGACAATCCAGATGAAGAAGAAGACCTAGAATTCGGCAAGGAGATACACGAATACCACGATATTGTAGAACTGGACAATAAAGAAGCTAAACTTATGAACAGGCGTCAGAATAAAGACAATGATGACACAGAATCGTCCGAACAACTCCTACCAGACTTTGATAACGTCGCTCTAACTTACGACAAAGTGGAAAAATCTGACAACAATGACAAAACTGACAATGTGGACAATCTGACTCTGCTCACAGAATTGGGATTAGCTGACACGAATGTACAAGATGATTTTGGTGATTTCCAAAATGGATTGCTTGATGAATTTCTGCCTAAAGCCAGTGGGGATGATAAGAATGATATATTTGATAAGCTGCTGAATGATTTTAGTCTCCTAAATAAATGAATAAATGTTTATGTTATGTATTAAATGTCGTGGTTTTATTTTTATACATCGAATCGTCTTAAAAAAGTTAATTGGGACTGGGCTTGCTTTACCGTATGTAAATATTTTAAATAAGTGTATAAATCTGTTTATTTCAGATAACCATGATCCAAATTGTTAGTAACATACCCTAACAACTTAAAACTAGTGTTAGTGATATAGATTAAAACTATTCGCCCCCTGCCGGACCGACAGATCTTGGTATCTTGGTATATTAACATAAGTAAAACAAAATTAATTCAGTTTAACTCTTATAATTCCAAACAATTGGCTTTAGATATTATTTGTAAAAAAGAAAAAGTAGAACAAGTAAATGAACTAAACTTTTTAGGAGTCATTGTAGACAACCATCTTAACTGGAAGAGTCATGTGGAACATATTTGTCAGAAACTGGATAGGTTTGTGTTTGCTTTAAAAAAATTAAGACAAAATGTTTCATTAGAAGCTGCTTTGTCGGCTTACCATGGTTATGTGTCATCTGTACTAAACTATGGAGTAATAATGTGGGGCAACTCGACTGATGCCGATAGAGTTTTTAAACTTCAAAAACGGTGCATCCGAGTTATTAACAAGGCGTGGTTCTTAGACAGTTGTAAACCTTTATTTCAAAAATATAAAATTCTTCCACTGCCTTGTATATATATAAAAGATATCTGCATTTTTACGAAGAAACACATGCATTATTTCAAGTACCGCAGTGAGGTTATGTCAAGGCAAAAAAGGGCTAAATTTAATAACCTACTGTATCAACCGCCTGTTCATAAAGATATCTATAAGAAAAATGTGTGTAATATGTGTATTTTGATTTATAATAACCTTAAATGTTAGGGAAAATATTTAGTTTTAATTCCGCGACAAAAATCCAGGCTTGTTGCAGGATGCAATCCCACTCCTATGCAATCATGCATATGCACATGCAGCAAGGGTCCCACCCTCCCGCCCACATGCATATGCACACATACACAAAACGGAAAAACATGCCACGCAATCAAACCTATACTCGACACGTGTTTCGCCCCTCCACAGGGCATCCTCAGGAGATGTTGACTCGACGAGCGCTCGGCTGCGTCGTCGCAACAAGCCTGGATTTTTGTCGCGGAATTAAAACTAAATATTTTCCCTAACATTTAATGTCATGGATTTCCGCAAAGTAACGCCTGATTCTATAAATTATCTTATAATAACCTGCCAAATGAACTGAAATTGTTACATGGTAATCTATTTAAAATACAATTGACACAGTGGTTACAAAAAAACTGTTTTTATAGTATTAAGGAATTTATAGAGCTTTAATTAGTAAAATTATGTGGACGATAAAATTGTATAAAATAATTATATTAAGTGGATTTTTTTTATTAGATTCTTACATTAATCGATTTTATTAATATTGTATAATTATGATAATAACGAATTAATTGCATGACATAGATAATTTAATGACATAATTATAAATAATTTGCACGCTTGCTTGCAGGCTGAATGCAGTGACTTTTAGGATATAAGACCTTTCCTTATTAAACAATGTAATTCTTGCAAATAAACACTTTTGAATTTGAATTTGAATTTGAATATCAACACTGACATGAGTGACAATAACATGAGTAACAATATTGTCGCCCATTATTATTATTATTCCATGATTTGTGTATCCTTTGTTGGAGAAACAGTAATTTATCGATTCATGAATAAGCAATCAAGTCTACCATACTTAAAATAGTGAAGCGACTTGTCCGCACTCTGCTCAGCATTGACGCGCAACGCTTGCGCAGAGTCACGTAGAAACAATCGTGAAGCACTAAATTGTCGAGCAACATCTTTCTTCATCATTTTTATCACCTCCTTGTCTGATCAAAATATCCAGTATATTTTTCTGATAGAGGATAGGATAGAAGTGGTTTTACAGAAATGGGTTGTAAATAAACAGAAGGTCTGTAAATACATGAGCAACAATCAATAAGTATTTTTATAATTTCTTCCCTGTTTGACTTGTAAGTTTTATAGGGAGCAATCAATTTCATCTTTTTAATGTTCGGCAAACTAGCAAACGTATTACCTGATGGTAAGCAATCGGCGAGTTACTACAAGTGCGTTGTCAGCCTCTTGGACCCCCGAGACTCTTAGGGATTTAAGGATAATTATTAGATTTGAGGGTTGAGGATAGTAGGAAAGGATTAGGCCTCCGGAAACCTCACATGGCGAAACACAACGTAAGTGTTGTTTCACGCCTGTTTTCTGTGAGGCCGTGGTATCCATCCGGTCGAGCCAGCCCATCCGTGCCGAACCATGGCTCTCCCACACAATCATTTAGGAGTCTTGCCGACGCCATTCATGGTCTTATACCATGGAAAAAAGGCATACCTAGTTCTTAGCTAGTGGGCTTATCATAAAAAGTATAGACACGTACTTACTACAACCAATTTTAGTAAGGAGGCCAATGAAAGTAGATACATATCCTGCTAAATATTATAAACGCGAAAGTTTGCAATTATGGACGGAAGAATGCTTGTTACTCTTATACGTAAAATGAGAATGGATTTTTATGAAAATTGGCATAGAGATAGATTATTATATGTATTTGACTGCACGATTGGCGTAGTGACTGAGCAACTATACTCGGAATTTTAATTCCATTCCAGATTTGACAATTTCAGTGTTGCAACGTTATGACACATAATAAATAGTGACGTTGCGAAATTATTCGATGTGGAAATCGAATATTTCTGAATCGATCTCTCGTTTATAAATTTAATCTCGTAAACTAAGTTTATCAGGAAATACAATATTTCTGAACTGATAATTTAGTTTTGATAATTAATTAATGATCTGAGACTTTTCTTTTGTAATTGTGTGTGAAATTAATAAAAAATGTGATCATGAAGGAACATGACAAATAAAACAGAATTTTTATAAAATGTCGCCGTCATTGCTATCGCTATCGCTGTTACTTTCTGTAACATTTATTATGAATTGTGTCTGTGATTTTTGTTGTCTATCTAGCTTACTCATTTTTTCCTCTTTTTTGACAACATGGGATATGCATTTAGACCATTGGGTAGGCATAATTTTTTGAATGCCTTCCTGAATCTGATTCACTCATTGTTTATCGATTTTTGTGTTTATCACTACACTGTTATATTATTATGTGGTATCATTATTTCACAAAATGACAATAGGTCATGTCAAATCAGGAATCGAATTAAAAGTCCGACTATAGGTGCTGTGCAATGTGTCGTGTGTTCGATTCCCACTCGGAACAACACTATGTGATCTACAAATCGTTGTTTCGGATCTAAGTGGTTTGTGTATTTTTAAATGTTCGACACAGAAGAATGTCCTAATATGGAGCAACTTGATTCTTAAATTGTAATCTGCATATATACACATAGGCTATTTTTATCAAGGTAACGTAGGCGAAGCCGTTAGTAGAAAAACAACATTAGAAAAATCTCACAATTTATTCATAAGTTATTCATTAATAAATAATTCGCAAGACAAGCTTTGTTACATTTACCCTAAGTTCTTAATCTATGTTACAACAAATTTTATATGTACTGTACTCGTAATAATAATTACATAAATATTTCGTCTTTGTTAGGCAATTTTAGTAGGTACCAAATTCTAGCATCCGGTATGACATTGAAATCTATACGAATACTCGTTTTATAAAGGGGTAAAATTTGTAAGTTTGTATGTAGGGAGTTATCTTTGGAACCGCTCGCTGGTAGGATTTCCAAATTTCGCTGATAGATAGCTACAATGTTTAATAGATGTATCACACTAAGATGTACAAGAACCGAGCAGCGAGTGAAACAGCGCGAGAATAGCTAGTCTTTCATGAATTCCTTGTTATTTTACGGGACCATTTTGATCTTTTAGAATTGGCTATTATAGCGAATTAAATTAATAAAGCTTCTAGTAATTTCTGGAACCAACCCAATATTGGAATCAATGGTAGAAAAGTCTTAAATGTATTAAACTTCATAATCAACCAAATAAATAAAACGGCAATTCTTAATACGGCCCATGGTGACTATGGTGGCCATGAGTGTGCGGATCAAGATACACATGGTGGTAATAAACCCTCATTTCCGGCCAGGGCAATTTGAACTTTAAAGCCTTCACCAAATCCCCTTTCAAACCCTTTATACTTTGCAGATACATTTGTGCCTTTTTCCCGTACTGTGGTAGATTTTCATACGTCTCTTTGATCAGTTTGCCTTTATTTTGTAGTTTTGGGATGATTTGTAGTACATCTAGCTGTTGGACTTTATCTAAGTCTATTGTGTCGACGAATTGTTGGATTGTTGTTGACGCCGTGTCTGTTAGAGTCTGCAGTTTTGTTGCGGCTGTATCTGTGAATGTTTGTAGTTGAGTCGCTGCCGTGTCTTTCAGCTGCTTTAAGTCCAAAGTTGCAGCCGCTGAATGCAGCAAGAGTGCGATGAACTGGAATATTTTTTAAACAGATATCGAATTAGGTTTTTAACGTTGCCCTACACTGACTTGCTCTTGATAGTGTTTATAAATCAACAATAGGATAGCAAGAAATAATAAATTTTGGGGTCAAAATAAAAGGCATCAGACTTATGACAACATGCGGTTTAGCTAGTTACTTTATGTCACCAAAAATGTGAGCATTTTTTAAATTCAATATCCTAATAATATTTCGTCTTAGCCTAGAATTAAACCCTCATCTCCGTCAGACAATATCTTTTAATCTCGAAAGAGATTACTAGACCACTAATAGGTTTATAACAATATGTATAAGTTTCCAAAGTAATGCCATTAATGAGCTAAGATATAAAAAAATTGCATGTCATTTTCTTATGACTGAACTAACCTTTTATGTAATTGGGTAGTTTCCTGGGTCAAAAATAAATAAATTCGACGTTTTAATACGATAAAATATTGAAAAATAACTATATTTTTATTCATCGATCGATCGATACCCTAAGTTTTAGATA